GGGAAAGAGGTTGAGCTTCTAATTGCCTCACCTTATGAAAAGGAGAGTGAGCCAAGGTTGTCCAGGTTATGAAACTGTTCGGCACATCATCACTGGCAGTTGTTTGCCACTGGGGACGATTTTCTCTCCCAGGAGACATTTGGCAAAGTCCAGAAAATTTGTGATTGTCAGAACTGGGGTGTGCGGGTGCTCTTGGCAGCTAGCAGGTAGAGGCAGGGAGGCTGTTAAGCTACCACAGGGCAGCCCCCATGGCAAGAGGTTATCTGCCCAACATGCCAATAGTGCCCGAGTTGAAAAACGCTGGTATAAGCTAAAAAAAGAACAAAACGTAGTAATAATAAAATAAAAATTTTAAAAAATAATAAAACCTGGAGAGAAAATGGGCGAAGGAAGAAGACAGAAAGTAAAGAGGATAAAGTGTCAGTGAGCTAAACTCTGAGCTTTCCTGTAACAGAGTCAACGCACGAAATCTATGCGTGACAAAGAGAGAAATCATTGAGAATTTCAGAGGTAACCGGTGAAAGAACGAAACCCAGAAATGGTTACTAATGATAGTTACCTCTCTAGTGCAGTATGTGGTCTAGGAATCAGGAGGAGGAAGCCCATAACATTTTTTTTTCTTTTTTTTTTTTTTTTGGAGAGGTTTTTGCTATAAGGCACATGTGCTCGCCAGAAAGACAGAGAGAGAGACAGAGAGATAGAAAGCAAGAACTCACCCCCCATGGGGGATGGCCACACCACAATCCCTTCTCCTCCATTCTTTTCTCGGGATCTTGAGCACGCACGCACACGCACCCAGCGTGAATTCAAGCCACTGGGTCCGGGATTCAAACGCGGTCGGCTACATGGGAGTACAGTGACATAGCCATTACGCTAACTGCTGGTCCTATAACTTTTATTATCTACCTGTTGAATAATTTGAAATTATATATACACACACACAAGTTTCTATAGGGCACATCAGCTCACTGGAGGGAGAGAGAAAGACAGAGAGAGCAAGCACCTTCCGAGGGGGATGGCTACGCAGCAATCCCTTCTCCTCCACTCTCTTCTCAGGATTTTGGGCGTGCTCGCTCACACTCCTGGTGGTTTTCAAGCTGCTGGGTCCAGGACTTGAACTGTGGTTGGCCACGTGGGACCCAGCTGCCTCAACCTCTGTAGCACCTGCTGGCCCTCTTTTTTTCTTTTTAAATGAGATTCATCCAGATTCAAATGCTATGTGAAGTGGAAATTGTTCACTCTGGCATTCAGTAAAAATATGGATATATTTCTTTCTCTGTGAATATCCCTTTCCCCATGAATTCCTTCATAAAAGTGACCCTACCTGATGATTCACATTCCCGCAGTGGAGCTTTCTCTCTGGGAACACTGAACCTTGGATGGGTCCAGATAACTTGAGCAACGTAGTCATCCCCGGGCACCACCTTCTGGGAAATCCGGACAAGCACGATCCACCGAGTGATTCCTGAACTTGATGAAGGTGTTAGTACCTTCAAGCTGGCCCTGTTTCCTGTGGAGAGGACCTGTCTTGGCAAAACATGACTAACCCTTGCTCTGCCATCCATCTTGACTGAGCTCCTCGTCCTTTCTCTAGTGCGGAAGACATGGAATCAAACAGCCACGATTGCGATCACAGTAGGCATAAAGACAGGGCTGTTTATCGAGCGCTTATGTGTGTGCCAGGCATCATAGCATGCCCTTCACACACATCAGTAATTGAACCTGCAAACAACTTTATGGAGAGGCATTATCCCCAGTTTATGATGATTCCATTGAGGTCCAGGGAAGTTCAGTAATTTGCTCAAGGTTACACAGCTGAGGAGAGGCAGAATAGGATGCAAACTCGTGCTTCTCTGACCGCGGATTCTGAATTTTGATCATCACTGTCAACAACATAACCGCTATCCGAGGAAGAGGGGAGGGAAGAGAAGACGGAGAAAGAGCTAACTTTATGGACTACTTATAGTGGATCATATATTTTTCTGAGGTCTGACACCCGTTAGTGGAGGCGGGAGCTTTCAGCATGCTACCTATCCATTCTACACACAGGGGAGCCAAGGCCAGAAAGGTACAGCCACTCCCACGGAGTCTCGCAGTGAGGACCTGGGGGACCATGGATTCAGCTCTAGTGCTTGTCCTTCTAACCAGCACTCTCTGTCTCCTGCTTCCTCATAGATGGTCACAGATGTTCTGTTTTTGTTTTTGTTTTTTAATAAAAAAAGAAAGAAAGAAAGAAAGAGTTATGGGGTGGGGAGGGTGGTATATTTTTGCAGAGTTTTAACACAATCCTTCTGTCCCAGCTTCCTGGTTAGCTGGGACCCAGGTGCTCACTGTCTGTCTAGGTTGGGCCTCCCTCCTGTATGACCTCAGCCCGGATCACGTGTCTACCTCCTGCTTGCACCACATGGCTAGGCCAGTCTTTCCTTTTTTAATATTTAATTCTATTTATTATTATTATCAATATTATTCATTTGCTATAGGGCGCATGTGCTCATCAGAGAAAGACACAGAAAGAGAAAGCAAGCTGCTAGGTTCAGGACTTGATCCACAGTGGACCAGGTGGGAATCCAACGTCTTAACCACCTGCTGGCCCTAGGCCAGCCGTCCTTCTAACAAATATTTACTGGGCAGGAATTCTGTACCTGCACCTGTTGGTAAGGAACAAGACAGTGCTGGTTACTGTCCTCCTCCATGACACATCCCTGAGAAGTCCCCATTATTTCCGTGATCTCCTTCCCCCTCCTTCAAAGCGTCCTCTCTTTCCTGCCCTCAGTCCTGCAGGAATGTCTAGATGACTCTCCTCTCCTCTCTGTGAACCAAAGCCAAAGAGATAGACAGGGTATACTCTTTCTCTCACCCCGCTCTTTCTTTCCCCCCCTCTCTTTTTCTTTTTCTTTCCCCCCCCCCCTTTGGAGAGGTTTTTACTATAGGACGCGTGCACTTGCCAGAAAGACAGAGTCAGAGAGACAGAAAGTGAGAAATCACCCCCGGGGGGATGGCCACATCACAATCCCTTCTCCTCTATTCTCTTGGGACCTTGGGCACATTCACTCATGCTCCTGGCGTGAGTTTAAGCCTCCGGGTCTGGGACTCGAACCGCGGTCAACTACATGGGAGTCCAGCAACATAGCCATTACTTCAACTGCTAGTCCCCCCTCTCTCTCTCTTTTTAACTAACTCATTCGGCCCATCTTTGTCTGCCTCTGCGCTGCATCCCCTTAAACATAGTACTCCTTGATGTCATGGTCACACTGCTGGGCCAGATGCCAGCCAGTCCCCCTTGGTTCTAAGCCACCCATGTTACCATCTCTTCCCCCGCTAGCCAGTGAATAACCAGGACTCACCTTGCTATAACACAGATCTGTCTTGCACCCCCGGCATCACAGACGAGCGCACGGCCTCTGCACCGCTTTGCAAGGATAAAGCCCTAACTCGGCCCTAGACAGTGCCATTCTGTATTCCTAGACTCCGGCGCCTCCCTTTCGTCGATGTTCTTTGGAATCTGCACAATCTAAAGAGCAAAGTCCTTTCTAGAGGTTTATTTCATGGATACCATAAGGAAGTGAGTAGATTTCTGTGTTGTTATGTTTTTCACCCCAGACAGTGAGATGTGTGGGGGGAAAAATGTCTAAACTCATTTATCCATGAAAACATTCTCCTAGAACACGATGCTCCACTAGCCACCCCCAAGGACTGGCCACTTCTTTCTACAGACACATCCCCTGGGGCAACGTTCTTACTGTACAGGTTAACTCTGTAATTATGATCTCAATGGCACGTCTCTCCTAGGATAAAGGACAGACAGGGTAAAGCCAGGCCACATTTCAAGGCCACCTTGAAGTCAAATCCTGACTCTAACACTGTTATGTCTCCGTCCCTCCGAGCCTGTTCTCCCATCATCTGGGTGGGAACATCATACTCCACTTCTTTGGAGCGTTGGTAAGGCTCAGTTGGCTAACGTTTGAGAACATCTGGACCGTTTCACCGCTCTAGTTATTTTCAGTCACCTGAGACTCAAATTGTCAGAGATGAACTCCAGCTGCTGAAATCCTAATCCTCCAGGAACAGTTATCTCTGGAAAAGAAGGAAGGAAGTAGACAGTCCAGGGCTGGGTAAAATTTCTCTATTTTTTAAAAGAGAGATTTTTGGTATAGGGCACATGTGCTCACTAGAGAGACAGGGAGAGACAGAGGGACAGAAAGTGAGAAATCACCCCCTCCCCAGGGGAAACGGCCACGCTGCAATCCCTTCTCCTCTATTCTCCTCTCAGGATCTTGGGCACACACGCACACGCGCCTGGTGTGAGTTTTAAGTTGCCGGATCTAGGACTCGAACCGCAGTTGACTACGTGTAAGTTGAGTGACGTAACCATTATGCCATTTGCTGGTCCCAAATTTCTATATTTTTATAAATGTCAAAACAAGTAAGTTTCAATACCTGTGGTATTTGAAACTGGTATCATCTAAAGGGAAAAAGGAAGCTCTATTTTTATAATTCACAAGAAGACTTGGGGGGCAATAGTTACTGTCCCCAACCTTTATATTAGCACCCCCAAATAAATGCAAAATTGTGGCTGTCCAAAGGAGAAATGGAGTATCTCTGCAGCAGAAACTTGACTTAGACACTGTACGATCAGAAGAAATTCACCCCCGGGGGGATGGCCACATCACAATCCCTTCTCCTCTATTCTCTTGGGACCTTGGGCACATTCACTCATGCTCCTGGCGTGAGTTTAAGCCTCCGGGTCTGGGACTCGAACCGCGGTCAACTACATGGGAGTCCAGCAACATAGCCATTACTTCAACTGCTAGTCCCCCCTCTCTCTCTCTTTTTAACTAACTCATTCGGCCCATCTTTGTCTGCCTCTGCGCTGCATCCCCTTAAACATAGTACTCCTTGATGTCATGGTCACACTGCTGGGCCAGATGCCAGCCAGTCCCCCTTGGTTCTAAGCCACCCATGTTACCATCTCTTCCCCCGCTAGCCAGTGAATAACCAGGACTCACCTTGCTATAACACAGATCTGTCTTGCACCCCCGGCATCACAGACGAGCGCACGGCCTCTGCACCGCTTTGCAAGGATAAAGCCCTAACTCGGCCCTAGACAGTGCCATTCTGTATTCCTAGACTCCGGCGCCTCCCTTTCGTCGATGTTCTTTGGAATCTGCACAATCTAAAGAGCAAAGTCCTTTCTAGAGGTTTATTTCATGGATACCATAAGGAAGTGAGTAGATTTCTGTGTTGTTATGTTTTTCACCCCAGACAGTGAGATGTGTGGGGGGAAAAATGTCTAAACTCATTTATCCATGAAAACATTCTCCTAGAACACGATGCTCCACTAGCCACCCCCAAGGACTGGCCACTTCTTTCTACAGACACATCCCCTGGGGCAACGTTCTTACTGTACAGGTTAACTCTGTAATTATGATCTCAATGGCACGTCTCTCCTAGGATAAAGGACAGACAGGGTAAAGCCAGGCCACATTTCAAGGCCACCTTGAAGTCAAATCCTGACTCTAACACTGTTATGTCTCCGTCCCTCCGAGCCTGTTCTCCCATCATCTGGGTGGGAACATCATACTCCACTTCTTTGGAGCGTTGGTAAGGCTCAGTTGGCTAACGTTTGAGAACATCTGGACCGTTTCACCGCTCTAGTTATTTTCAGTCACCTGAGACTCAAATTGTCAGAGATGAACTCCAGCTGCTGAAATCCTAATCCTCCAGGAACAGTTATCTCTGGAAAAGAAGGAAGGAAGTAGACAGTCCAGGGCTGGGTAAAATTTCTCTATTTTTTAAAAGAGAGATTTTTGGTATAGGGCACATGTGCTCACTAGAGAGACAGGGAGAGACAGAGGGACAGAAAGTGAGAAATCACCCCCTCCCCAGGGGAAACGGCCACGCTGCAATCCCTTCTCCTCTATTCTCCTCTCAGGATCTTGGGCACACACGCACACGCGCCTGGTGTGAGTTTTAAGTTGCCGGATCTAGGACTCGAACCGCAGTTGACTACGTGTAAGTTGAGTGACGTAACCATTATGCCATTTGCTGGTCCCAAATTTCTATATTTTTATAAATGTCAAAACAAGTAAGTTTCAATACCTGTGGTATTTGAAACTGGTATCATCTAAAGGGAAAAAGGAAGCTCTATTTTTATAATTCACAAGAAGACTTGGGGGGCAATAGTTACTGTCCCCAACCTTTATATTAGCACCCCCAAATAAATGCAAAATTGTGGCTGTCCAAAGGAGAAATGGAGTATCTCTGCAGCAGAAACTTGACTTAGACACTGTACGATCAGAAGAAATGAGAAGTGGGGGGGGTGGTCCCCAAGAAGATGTTTTGTTTTGCTCCTGGAGATGACAGTGCCTGGCAGTGTGCAGCATGTGACTGGAACACCTGGGTCACAGGGTCCTGCCTGCCAATCCCTTGGAGCTGAGCCAAGTTGGAGCCTGAGGGAAAAGGAAGAAGCAGTAATTCTGATCCTCTTGTAGCCCTAAGTCTGGATTTCTCAACCTCGGCACGGTTGACATTTTGGATCAGGTAAGTGTCTGTTATGAGCACTGCCCACATTGAAGAATGTTTAGCAGACACCTTCTAGAGTCAGGAGATACCCAACGCCACCCCATCCACAAGCTATGACAACCACAAACGTCTCTAGGAACAAGCACGCTGTCCCCCAGCTGAGAACACTGTTGTCGTGACATAAATTCCCAAGAACACTAGAGCGTATCTCCTGACCCCCTCTGGTCTCAGACAAGGAAATCAGGCCCTCAATGATTTCCCCTTCTCTTTCTCCCCTTTAGAAACTGGGACCAGCAGTTAGCGTAATGGCTATGTCGCTGGATTCCCACGTAGTCGACCGCGGTTCGCGTCCTGGACCCGGTGGCTTAAAACTCAGGCCGGGCGCATGTGCGTGCGTGCCCAAGATCCCGAGAGGAGAATGGAGGACAAGGGATTGCGGTATGGCCATCCTCCATGGGGGGGGAATTTCTCGCTTTCTGTCTCTCTGTCTCTCTCTGTCTGTCCGGTGAGCACACATGCCCTATAGTGAAAACCTCTCCAAAAAAAAAAAGAAACTGTACCATATTTTTAGATGTCAGTTACAGGACACATATTCCACCTATACATGGTCAATGTATTTCCTACTTTATCTGCAGGTGACTGTAAATTGGCAATGGAGTTTGCAACTGTTTGGCTGAGAACACATAAGGAAGAAAGAATTTTTTTTCAATATTTGCTTACACATCTTTTGTATTTCTTTTTAATTGCGAGGGGGCACATGTACTCACCAGAGAGAATCAGAAAAAGAAGAAAGCACCCCCCACCATGGGACGTGGTCATGCCACAATCCCTTCTCCTTTTTCTCCATCCTGTCAGCACTGAGGGCACGCACACACACGTGACCAGTGTGTGTTTCAAGCCAACTGGCCAGAATTCAAACCACCATGGGCTATGTGGGATCCAACTCCCTTAACCACTACGTACAAACCCATCTTCTGGATTTTATAGCATGTGGCAGTGGAACTTTTTCAAAAAATACAGTAAATCGAGCATTTTCTCCTGTGAGTTGCGTGCAGTTTGGATAGTCTATGTCACTACATCTGGGAGAATAAGGAGAAGTCTGGAACAGCACTCATAAAACTCTAAACCGGGATTATCTCCAGGGGGTGAATTCAGCATTGTCTGGTTTGTTTTTTTTTGTCTGTTTTGGGGTTTTTTTGGTAAAAATTATTTTATTTAACTGTATTTATTTATAAAAATTATTTTATTTAACTTTATTTATTTATTTTAATTTATTTTATTTTTATTCATTGTTGCTATTTTTAATTTGGCCAGGGAGAAAGAGAGAGAGGGAAGTGAGAAAGCAAGCTGCCATGTCTAGGACTCGAATTGTGGTTGGCCATGTGGGAGTCCAGCACCTTAACCACTGTGCCACTTGCCGGCCCCTTAACCTGGTTTATTTATTTTAATTTTCCCAGAGAGGGACAGAGAGTAAGAGAGAGAGAGAGAGAGAGAGAGGAGAGAGAGAGAAAGTAAGAAAGCAAACTGCCAGGTCTGGGACTCAAACCAGTCAACCATGTGGGAGTCCAGTGCCCTTAACCACCATGCCTCCTGCTGGTCCCTTGTTTTTGTCTTTTTAAGGTTTTTGCCATAAGGCATGTCTGCTCCTTGGAGAGAAACAAGGAGAGACAGGAAGAGGGGAAGTGAGAAATCACCCCTCACCACCACCAGAGAGGATAGCCACCTCTCAATCCCCTTTCCTCCATTCTCCTCCTGAGATTTTAGGCATACAAACAGTTGCTGTGTGTGCGTGTGTGCACGTGCGTGCGTGCGTGTGTGCGTGTGTGGTGTTGTTTTGCCTCTTGTGCAAATACTATACATTTAAAAAAGAACTTGTAGATGTCCTATGTTTGTGACTGGCTAAAATAGTAGGAAGAGTAAAACGAAAAGAACTAAAGTATTTTTTTTTTTGACATATGCAGACATTTTTATTAAGGGGTGCCTTCGGCACAAC